CCTAATAACACCTGAAAAATAATTAATTCATTTTTATTAATAAAGAAAGGTTGGTCCAGATTAAATGATATTAGAGACATGGTAACCAATGTGTGATCTCAGTTTGGACCCTACTTTGTATAAAAGTGTCTATTAAGTTCAGTAGTAAAACAATTGGTAAAATTTAAGTACTAACTGTACATTATATGATGGAATTGCATCAATGATAAATATGCTAAACTTGATAATAATGTAGTTTGTTAAGTAAGAGACTGTCCTTTGCAGGGCACAGTGATACATGCCTATGATCTCAGGTGGCAGGAGGCCAACCTCAGTAACTTAGTGAGACCCTGTCTCAAAAACTTTTGAAGCTGAGCATTGTGGCGCACACTCAGGAGGCTGAGGCAGGAGGATCTCAAGTTCAAAGCCAGCCTTAGCAACAGCTAGGCACTAAGCAACTCAGTGAGACCCTGTCTCTAAATAATACAAAAAAGGGCTGGGGATGTGGCTCAGTGGTTGAGTGTCCTTGAATTCAATCCCTGATACCAAAAAAATCCTTATTTGTTTGTTTGTTTGTTTGTTTGTTTGACAGCCAAGTGTGGTGGTGCACACCTATAACCCCAGCTGCTCAGGAGGGTTAAGGCAGGAGGATCAGGAGTTGAAAGCCACCCTCAGCAAAAGCAAAGTGCTAAGCAACTCCGTGAGACCCTGTCTCTAAATAAAATCTAAAATAGGGCTGGGGATGTGGCTCAGTAGCTGAGTGCCCCTGAGTTCAATATCTGATAATTCTCCCCCCAAAAAAATTTTTTTTGAGGTGCACCACCTCACACAGCTACAATTATTTTATATTTGTAGACAGAAAAAGTAGTCAGGCATGGAGGCATATACTTGTAATCCCAGCAGCTCAGGAGGCTAAGGCAGGAGAATCATAAGTTCAAAGCCAGCCTCAGTAATTTAGCAAGCCCCTAAGAAACTTAGTGAGACCCTGTCTCTAAATAAAATATTTAAAAGGGGGCTGGGGATATGGCTTGGGGGTTAAGTATCCCCAAATTCAGTCCCAGGCACCAAAAAATGAAAAGGAAAGAGAAAGTGAATTGACATCGTTAACAATGAATGAATCTAAAGAATGTATGAGAGTGTTACTGTTTGTACAACTTTTTTCCTGTAGGTATATAATTTCTTCAAAATAAAAAAGTTGTGCTAGGGGGCTGGGGATATAGCTCAGTTGGTAGAGTGCTTATCTCACATGCACAAGGCCCTGGGTTCAATCCCCAGCACACACACACATACACACACACAAAAGTTGTGCTAGGCGTGGTGAGGCTGTGGCAGGAGGACCTCCAGTTGAGGCCAGCCTCGGCAACTTAGGGAGACCCTGTCTCAAATTTAAAAGGCTGGGAGTGTAATTCAGTGTTAGAGTGCCCCTCTGTTTAGTCCCCACTACCAATAAATAAATAAATAATAATCCAAGTATGGTGGTACAATCCTGTACCAGTGACTTGGAAGGCCAAGGCAAGAGGATCACAAGTTCAAAGCTAACCTCAGAGCCAGGCATGGAGGCACATTCCTGTAATCCCAGTGATTTGAAAGGCTGAGTCAGGAGGATTTTGAGTTCAAAGCCAGCCTCAAGCAATTTAGCAAAAGCCCTAAGCAACTTAGCAAGACCCTATCTCAAAATAAAACATAAACATAAAAAGGCTGTGGATGTTGCTCAGTGGTTAAGCCACCTTGGGTTCAATTCCCAGTATCAGGAAGGGAAAAAAAAAATGACTAGTCTTAGCAACTTAGTAAGACCCATTCTCAAAATAAAAAATAAAAAGGCATAAAAGAATTGAAAAGAACATAGCTTTCTTTTTCCAGCCTTAATTTCGCTAATCTCTATTTGCATTTATCAAAAGCAGACTATGGACTGGTCCCAAAGAAGCTGAGGTGGCCTTTTGCCATTTTACCTGAGAGAGTCAGAGGTGGCCTTTTGCCATTTTACCTGAGAGAGCCAGTGCTTATCAACACTGTGGGATCACTGGACTTAGCATGTGATCTCATGTTGGGTCTCTGTTGCAGGGGAAGTATCAGATTCTGACAGCAACAGCTCCTCTTCTAGTTCAGATTCAGATTCTTCCTCAGAAGATGAAGAGTTCCATGATGGCTATGGAGAGGATCTCATGGGAGATGAGGAAGACAGGGCCCGTCTGGAACAGATGACAGAGAAGGAAAGAGAGCAAGAGCTGTTCAACCGCATAGAGAAGAGGGAGGTGTTGAAAAGAAGGTAAAGTTGTAGTTACCCTGCCTTTTCTGTTTATTTCTTGTCTCTCTTTTTTTTTTTAGTGATGATTCCTTTTTTTTTTTTGTATGTTAATTTTTTAGTTGTAGTTGACATAACACCTTTGTTTTATTTATTTATTTTTATGTGGTGCTGAGGATCAAACCCGGGGCATCACACACTCTAGGTGAGTGCTCTACCGCTGAGCCACAACCCCAGCCCTATTTCTTGTCTCTTATACTTCCCTTTTCATTGACATCTGACCTATATAGGTGATCTAAAAGTTCAACTTAAGAGTTTTCAACAGGGAGGTTGTGGCTCTTCGGTAGAGTGACACCTAGCATGTGCGAGGCACTGGGTTCAATCCTCAGCCCCAAATAAAAGTAAAAATAAATAAATAAAATAAAGGTACTGTGTCCAACTACAGCTTAAAAAAAAAAGATTTTTCAACTTTACAATTGTCTGAAAACATACCCATACAACCATCCTGATTTTCACATTCAGTACAGTATTAAGTAAATGAAATGAGATACTCACTGAAGCTTTTGAGCACATTTAAGGCAGGCTAGACTTAGCTATGATGTTTGAGAGTGTAGATGTATTCAATACATTTTTCATCTTATGATATTTTCACCTTATAATGGGGTTCGGATGCTTTCACATCATAAGCCAAGGATCATCTGTATGTGAAGATGCATTTGGAAATGGTATTGTTAACAAAATGAGAAACAAATATTTAGGATCACATTTGTTGTTTATACTGTCATTTTATTTACTAATTGCTTTTTTCATAAAATGCCATAGACATTTGTGTCTGTTATTTATTCTTCGTAACTACCCAATAAAGTTGATTACATCTTGTAAGAGAGTTAGAAATTTTGGCTTAAAGACATAAAGTAACCAAAGAGCAAGCTCCATGAAGGCAGAGACTTTGTCTTGTTTACTGCTCTATTTCTGGTACCTAGAACAATGACCGGCACATAGATGTGCACTAAATATTTGTTGAATGAAAGAAAGAAGATATTTGTCTAAGATTATATAGCTGGTAAGTGGTGCAACTAGATCTCAAACCTGGCACCAGCTGACTCCATAAAATACGTTGGGAGCAACATTGTCTCCTACTTCCTATTATTTTACCTGTTTTTAACATAGGCATTGGGAGCAATACTTTTGAGGGTTAATTACTGAGATTGTATGTGTCTTTGATAAAAATCAGTATATGATTTGCTATCTGCTGAGCATAAAATAGCAAGGAAGTCATGAAATGGTCTTGATTTTAGAATTTAAATCTAGTAATTATTGAAAGTATGGGCTGGTGATGTGGCTCAAGCTGTAGCGCGCTCGCCTGGCATGCGTGCGGCCCGGGTTCAATCCTCAGCACCACATACAAACAAAGATGTTGTGTCCACCTGAAAACTGAAAAATAAATATTAAAAATTTAAAAAAAAAGAAAGTAATGTGAGAAGACATCAAGTGATATGTAAAAATTAAATGAACAGGGCTGGGGTTGTGGCTCAGTGGTTAAGCGCTTGCCTCGCATGTGTGAGGCACTGGGTTCGATACTCAGCACCACATACATACATACATACATACATAAATAAAGATATTTTTTTAAAAATTAAATGAACAAATGGTGTTTCACAGCTTTGTTTTACAGATTGACTAAATTTTTCAAGCTCCCAAAGTAGAAATAATTTTTCCAAAATTCACATTTGGAACCCTGTTTTCATAAGATTCAAGTCTTGGAATTGTTCATTATGTACACACTAGGTATCTGTCCTACCTTTTTTTTTTAAGCACTGGGGATTGAATCCAAGGGTGTTGTATCACTGAGCTACATTCTCAGCCCATTTCATTTATTTTGAGATTGGGTGTCTCTAAGTTGCCAGGCTGGTCTCAAACTTGCAATCCAACCTGCCTAAGCTTCTCAAGTACCTGAGATACTACTGTACCTCAGGAGGCATGTACCACTGTGCCTGGCAGTTTTTGTATTTTTTTAAAATCTGTAATGTCAGATTGCTTCTTGGTAATGAGAAGATGCTTCAGTTTTCTGATTTTTTGCCATAAGCTTCTTGTCTTTTATCTTGGGAGATAAGAGTCCTCAGAACCAATATCCTTCCTTACTTACCTAATATCATTAAAAGAAAATCAAAAGCACTTTTCTTTGTTAGCAGTTAGTTCCATTTCATCTGGAGCCTATTTGTCCTTTCTGGACATATTTCTGAACCATATTAACTGTGGTGAGTTACCTTAGACAAAAATGTTTCATTTTCAGTCAGCAGCAAGCTGTAGATACACATTTGTTTGTTTTTTGTTTTTAATATTTTTTTAGTTGTACTTGGACACAATGTCTTTATTTTATTTATTCATTTATTTTTTATATGGTGCTGAGGATCGAACCCAGCACCTTGCATGTGCTAGGCAAGCACTCTACCGCTCAGCCCCAGCCCCAGCCCCTAGACGTTTGTTTTAATTGTGAATACTTCCAAGGTTACCTGTGTTGGAACCAACAGGACTGTGTTGGAGTTGCCAGATGGTTAGGTATGACTTGTAAAAATTGTATTTCCAAACTGTGAAGAACATAACAAAAGCTTGTGGTATAATTAAATTACAAAGTAACTCAGGAGTAATGAATGGCTGGCCTCAAGTTTGGTTTGTTTATTGTATTTGTTTGTTTATTTTAGTCCTGGGGATCAAACACATGACATCTGCATGCCAGGCAAACTTCTACCACTAAGCTACACTCCCATTCAGTTTTTAAATTTTTGCCTTATGTGAACAAGGCAGTTGACTGCTTCAGTGATAGTTTTTAGTACTAGAAGAATGTTTAGGGTGATGATAATTAAAGCAGAGATTCAGAGCCCTGCTCAGGAAATTAATATTTTTGTAGCTCATTTGTTTAGGTTTAGGTCAATTCAATATGATAACTCAGAAAATTTCATTCATCTATTTTACTTAATTAAGTTCTTTATATAGATCCCATCTAATCATTATGTGTATTCCATGACAGACTTTTTTTCTTTTTTTTCAGTCTGTTTTTATTTATTTATATTTGCAGTACTAGGGATTGAACTTAGGAGCCCTCTGTCACTGAGCCACATCCCCAGTCCTTTTTATTTTTTATTTTGAAATAGGATCTATTTGAGTTGCGGAGGCTGACCTACTTGCAATCCTCCTGCCTTAGCCTCCAGAGTTGCTGGCTTTATAGGCATGCACCATCTGCCAAGATATAACAGTCTTATGTAAGCACCACTAATGTTCTGCTCTCTGGTCAGCAACACCTATAGTGAGGTCATCCTCAGATGTTGGATTCCTCAGGGGAACAGGCAGCATACAAAATAGCGTAATAACAGAAAGAACACTGACATTTTAGGGCCAGGACCTCAGCTCATTGGTGGAGTGTTTGCTTACCATTTGCAACACCTTGGGTTCAATAGCCTTTACCCCAACAAAACAAAACAAAAAATTATCATGTTAGCTGGGCATGGTGGCACATACCTGTAATCCCAGCAGCTAGGGAGCCTGAGGCAAGAAGATTGCGAGTTCAAAGCCAGCCTCAGCAATGGCAGGACTCTAAGCAACTCAGTGAGACCATGTCTCTAAATAAAATACAAAATAGGACTGGGGATGTGGCCCAGTGGTGGAATGCCCCTGAGTTCAAAACCCAGTACCAAAAAAAATTGGTATGTTAGTTAGAAGAAGGTGTAGGTTCAATTTAGACCCATCTTAAATCTATTCCAATTTACTTCTTTCAAGTACTTTTTGTACTTATATTCAGTATGTTTTTTTAATCTTTATTGTGTTTACTTACTTTTATGTGGTGCTGAGGATTGAACCCAGTGCCTCATATGTGCGAGGCAAGTGTTCTGCCACTGAGCCACACCCCATTGTATTAATATACATACAAGATATTGGAATTTCTTGCAGAATGCCAAAGTGTTTACTAACTCCTTCCTTATACTTACTTCTTTCTTCTAGTAGAAATTAATCTTTATATATATTTCATTGCTTTTTAAAAATCAAACAAATATCTTTTAACCAGGTTTGAAATCAAGAAAAAACTAAAAACAGCCAAAAAGAAAGAAAAGAAAGAAAAAAAGAAAAAGCAAGAAGAGGAGCAGGAAAAGAAAAAGCTGACGCAGATTCAAGAATCTCAGGTAGGAGATTCAATGGCCTCATAATCCAAAGAGAATACCTCTTCTCTTTGAGGTATAGGTAGATTTATATTAATCCTCCTAGGAAATGAGTGGAAGGTTAGTTAGCTCATTTATCTCTGGATGTATCATTTTACCATTAGCTAAACTGGTTAACTCCTTAGGACACTTTCACTCTGCTTTTAAATAGGAGCCCACTAGAGTAAGCATCACTTGAGAAAAAGTTGGTAAGCCTCTCTGGTCCCAAGTAACCAGATCGGTTATGATGTTTACTCAGGTGTATGTGATTCTAGACTTGGTATAACTATAGCTAGGAAAATAAATCATCTTTGCATTTATCATGAATTATCAACAAATATTAGATCATAATCTATGTATTCTTACAGAGTTTACTTGGATAATTCTTTTCTTTTTCTTTTTTGGGTGGTGCTGGGGATTGAACCCAGGGCCTTGTGCATGCTAGGCAAGCACTCTACCAACTAAGCTATATCCCCAGCCCCCATGGTAATTCTTTAGCTTACTGTTTATTAGGCAGATAAAATAAGCTGATTTCACTGCTCTATTCTCTTTGTCCACAAGAGGATGCTCTCTACTTATACAAGTTTTAAGTTTCTGTAGTCAACATAAATTCACATAAAAGACTGAATACATTAATTGTTGGGTATAGAGAATCTTATCAGCAATTAGTAAAAACAAAAAGGCCATCCTATTTATCCTTTCCTTCCTAGGTAACATCCCACAATAAGGAACGTCGTTCCAAACGGGATGAGAAATTAGATAAGAAATCTCAAGCCATGGAGGAGCTTAAAGCAGAGCGAGAAAAACGCAAGAACAGAACAGGTAAGTGAGGGAATGTAATGATTACTATGTGTCCTCAGTTATACAGTGTGAATCACTGGTGGCCATATTTATTTTCCCCCCTGTTTAACTCTTCATAATGAAAAGTTCCAGACATGCTGAGAATAGTATAATGAACCTTTATATTCCATTATCCATTATCCAATCTCCATATTCTTCTCAAGGAATCTTGTTGAATCTAAAATCCTCTAAGATTATTTTTTAATTAAATCCTAACATCATCATATTTCTAACAACATATGTCTGATAAGGACTCTTGTTTGTTTGATTTATTTGGTACCAGGGATTGAACATAGAGGGGCTGAACCACTGAGCCACATCCCCAGACTTTTATTTTTCATTTTGAAATAGGATCTCGCTAAGTTGGTTAGGGCTTCGCTAAGTTGCTGAAGCTGGCTTTTGAACTTGTGATTCTCCTGCCTCAGCCTTTGAAGTTGCTGGGATTATATGCATGCACCATTGCACCTGGCTAGGTCTCTTGTGTTAAACCTAACTTCTATATAATTGTCACACTTAAAAATAGTAACAATGAATCCCTTAATATGATCAAATATCTAGTCAGTACTAAAGTTTCTGTGTTTGTTTTATAACTTAAAAAATATTGGTTTTATTGTTTGAATCAGGAACTTAGAGTCCACATTTTGTGATTTATTAATGCATCCCTTAAGTTACATAAGCTCTTAGTTTTTCTCCTTGTTTCTTTGTCTCCTTTGTAGTTTATTTGCTGAAGAAACCATGTATGCATTTGTCTGTTTCCCACAATGCTGACTATATCCCATTGATGGTATTGGGTGTGTTCCTCTAATCCCTTGAATTTCTTGTGAATTGTTAGTTAAAACTAGAGAATTGGTTGGATTTGGGTTTGTTTTGTGTTTTGCTAGTTGCTTTAGTTTGGTTAGGAAAGCTGATTTTTAATATCTGACTGTCTTGTAGTGTTACCAGCTCTTTTAGGCAGCTTTTACCACAATAATGTAAAGTAATAAACCACTAACCTGTTCCCTACGTGTGCATCAGTATGAGTTCAGCTGGGATTGTCTCCAAGCTGCAGGTAGGGGTCAGGTCTGCTCTACCTGTCTCTCTTCCTCCTTGGACCAAGGAGGGCCTTTTTTTTTTTTTTTTTTTTTTTTTAGGTGTAGATAGACACAACACGATGCCTTTATTTTTATGTGGTACTGAGGATCGAACCCGGGTCCCACCTGTGCTAGGCGAACGCTCTACCTCTGAGCCACAGCCCCAGCCCCAAGGAGGACCATTTTTAATCATGGTGACAACAGAAGTATAAAAGGGGAAAGCAGAAACACAAAGTACTTGTTAAGGCTGAGACTTAAGAGTTGACATAGTATCACTCTCAGGCTGGGAGGAACTGAAATTATGGAGTTATATGATAGAAGGCACATGTACAGGATGGTATGAAGAATAAGAAATAGTAATGTGTTCTGTCACAGCCATTAATGATCACGACTTAGATCATTTAATTCACTGGGAATTGTAAAATGATAATCTGTCTGATACAGTGGCATACACCTATAATCCCAATGATTTGAGAGGTTGAGGCAGGAGGGTTGTAAATTCAAGTGCAGTCTGGACAATTTAGTGAAACTCTGTCTCAAAAAAAAAAAAACTTGGGGCTGGGATTGTGGCTCAGCAGTAGAACGCTCGCCTAGCATGGGCGGGACCCAGGTTCGATCCTCAGCACCACATAAAAATAAAGGCATTGTGTTGTGTCCATCTACACCTAAAAAAATAAATATTAAAAAAAAGAGAGAGAGGGTCCCTACCTCTAATGAACTTAAAGAAAAACATAAGTAAATAAATAAAAATAAACCAATTATAATTGTTAAGAGCCAGGGAGCCGGGTGCAGTGGCACATGCCTGTAATCCCAGGGGCTTGGGAAGCTGAGGTAGGAGAATCACAGATTCAAAGCCAATCTCGGCAATGGTGAGATGCTAAGGAACTCAGTGAGTCCATGTCTTTAAATAAAAAAAAAAATAGAAAATAGGGCTGGGGATGTGGCTCAATGGTTGAGTACCCCTGAATTCAATCCCTGGTACCAAAAGAGAAGAAGAAGAGGAGGAACCAGGGATGTAACTCATTGGTAAAGCACCCCTGCCTTAAATTCTCAGTACCTAAAAAATAAATAATAATAATAATAATACTCTTATCTGTCATTCCTTATTTAATATCTGATCTCCTCCTATTTAAAAAAAGGGGGGTGGCTGGGGATGTGGCTCAAGCGGTGGCATGCTCGCCTGGCATGCGTGCGGCCCGGGTTCAATCCTCAGCACCACATACCAACAAAGATGTTGTGTCCGCCAAGAACTAAAAAATAAATAT